AGCATTGGCATATGGTTTAAATACCTTTGTTTTCTGCTGTGATATTTATTGTCCTGAAACAGTGTAGAGAACAACACATATCCTCTCAGCCTTCCTTGTGCTAGACCAAACAAGCAGAACTAGTGTTGTGTTCTCTGACATGTTGGGAACAGTCAAGACCGTAGTGACCTTCTCTTCCTGGACTCAGCTCATCAGCTGTGTTCTGTCTTTAAAAATGTAGGACGTGTGCTAATCTTTGTTTGTTTGTTTGTTTTCTCCCTGATAAAAATATGCATAAGAAAACATGCTGTATACTCCCCAGTCTTTACCAATACTGCTTTTGCATTTTTCTCTAAACAGGTAGTATCTTTTGTACAGTTATACCACTAACTTTATTAATACCACCAATATTTCTAATATGACTTCTCTGTCTAGTAAAGATACTATAAAACATTCACAGAAAGCTTAGACAGCACAGCCCAGAGAACACACTATGTCTTTGTTGTGTCTTTGAAACTTATGTCTAATAGCTACATACTCAAAATGCTGATGCAAACACAGGCCAAACACAAAACTGTGTTTAACTAGAAATCATTATTTTCCTATTTGATTCTGTACACAAGTTTTTTTTCTCCAGCAACGGTCTGCTAGAAGACTACAAGTCAAACTTGGATGTCAGACCAAACAGGTATCATGCAAAGTGTCATCCTTTATTAGCTCATCAAACCACAAGAGAATTAACACTATGAATTCCTGTCTAGCAACTCAAGTTACGTCTTCTTATGGAAGAAGACACTATTGTCCACATAGAAGTACAAACCTTCACTTTTGAATGATGGAGACCAGAGAAAGGAACAAAAGCTTTTCACAGAGTCAAACCAATGGAAAAAGAATTGAATTGAATTAAATATTATTTATTTATTTATTTATTTTGTATTTAATTTAAAGGTTTCCATTCCACCTGTTCTCATCCTGAAACATTCCCTTTTCATCTGTTAGGTGTAAATACGGGTCTTGTAATACATCAAAGGTATCGGAGATTTTCTGTTTGGTTGTGGATTAGTTTTTTTTGTTTGTTTGTTTGTTTACTTGTTTGTTTGCTTTGTTGGTGTTTTTTCATCTGTTTAGTTACATAAACTCCCGAAGCTTCATTTGTTTAATGTTGTTTTATATAGTGTTCTATAGTATTTAATATAGTGTTTTGTTCTCTCATAAAAAGAACTAAAACTTAGATGTTATAAAGAACTTGCAGAACTTGCAGATCCTCTGCCAGGATCCTTAATTTTTCTACTGTGTGGAAAAAAAAATGGGTAGAGATCAGAAAGTCATAAATTAATCTTAGCTTTCTGAGGCATGAGACATTCATGCCATATGGTACAAAAAAAATACATTCTCACATTGACTTCAAAGTGTCTTGTTCATAGACATGAAGCCTTCTACTACACAGAACTGGGCAGTAAATTGTAAAGTATTAAACTCTGACATGAAATCATACACTTTACACCTTCTAGGGATTTTAGCACTAAGGATTTTGAAACGTAAGTGTGTTTTGTAACTTTTTTAAGGAAAAGCACACAAGAGTCAAAGGCTTACTGGAAATGGTTTTACAGAATTTTGACAAAAGCAAGAGCAGAAAATACTCTGAGGAGTTTACAAAACTGTCAGAAGCAAACAAAGTGTTGTAAGATTCAAGAATAGAGGTTTATCTGTGGAACCCTGAGCAGATGCTTTGATGATATGTTTGGTCTATCGCTTGATCATCTTTGACCATCATTTTGATCATGTTGGAAAATTTGAGTTAGTTTAGTCCTTACCCAAAAAATAAAATAAAATAAAATAAAATAAAATAAATAAAATAAAATAAAATAAAATCACACTAATGTCATGCCTAAAATTTAATAGGATCAAGCCTTCATTTTTTTTTGTAGATGTATGTGTCTATTATTTTAGATTTAATGATTATTAAAAAAAAGAAAAAAAAAAAAAAAAAGGTACTCTTGTTTTCCTGTTGTCACAAATTTCCAGGGAATTAATTTTATAGATTGGCTTGTTTTTACTTCACATTTTATGTAATGATTTAATTACTTAATTGACATTTATATACTAGTTTGTATCCTGGAAAAGTAACCTTTTAAAGGATACTAAAATGAAATTCCCTTTATGAGTAGCTGTTAACTTTTCAAGTTTTCTTCCACAAATTAAAGAAGAAAAAAATTATGATGCTCTTCAAATTTCCATAGGTAAGATGCAAAACTTTATCTGGCTGGGTTAAACAAGGCTATATAAACATAAAACTAAAACACTATGTTTTCCTTTATACCAAGAAATCTTCTAAAATGACTTCACCAGAATCTACATAAATTTCAAAGCAGAACTACTAAATCTGAGGTGTTTTATTGCCAAGCTACATAACTTATATTTTAAAAGTTGTAAACAAGACCTTGGAAATGATTGTTTCATATCCTTTATTGGCACAGTGGTGAAAATATTGACTTTTTATTGCATTTGACAAACAGCATCAATTTCATCAGAGTAGTTAACATGTAACCAGGTAGAAGAAATATTATACTATCAGTTTTCTGCTACTTCAAATGGTGATTGCTTAACTTAATAAAAAAACTTATTGTATGTGTCTCACTATTGACTACTGTAGTGGGTTTACGTGGCAAAGGTTTGGAAGTGGAGGCTGTAGGGGTGGCTTCTGTTCTGCTGCCCCAAGATAGATAAGGGCCAGTTTCTGCCGGCTTCAAAGGACCCACTGTAGGCCAAAGCCAATAAGTGATACTGTTTGCACCTCTCTGAGAGCAGGTTTAAGAAAGGGGAAAAATAACTGCTAGTCAACAGCAGCTGGGAGAGAGGGGTGTGAGCCAGCCCTGCAGCTCCCAGGTGAGTGCAGCAGGAGGGCAGGAGATGCTGCAGGCAGGCAGCAGCAGTTCCCCTGCGGGCTGTGCAGGGAGAGGCCCCTGGTGGAGCAGGCTGTCCCCCTGCAGCCCATGGGTCCCCCATGGAGCAGATCTCCACGCTGCAGCCCCCCCATGGGTGGAGGAGCCCCCGGTGGAGCAGGTGGATGTGGCCTGGAGGAGGCTGCAGCTCATGGAGACCCCTGCAGGAGCAGGCACCAGGCTGGCACTTCAGAGTTATCCGAGTGGCACAGGGGTGTGGGGACTGGGGGCTGCAGTCAGTCCCTGACACTTGTCTCCACCGCTCCTTCATGGTCCCTCTCTGCCCTTGCTCCCTGTGGGGTCCCTCCCACGGGATGCCGTCCTTCCCAAACTGAGCCTGCAGGGGCTGCCCACAGGCAGCAGCTCTTCAGGACCTGCTCCCACACGGCTCCATCCCATGGGGTCCATCCATCCCCCAGCAGCAAACTGCTCCAGCACGGGTCCCCCACGGGTGGGCAGCAGCTCCCCCCAGACCCCCTGCTCCTGCGGGGGCTCCTCTCCACGGGCTGCAGCTCCGGCCCGGGGCCTGCTCCTGCAGGGGCTCTCCATGGGCTCACCTTTGGCCAGCAGTGGGCTCATTTTGGAGCTGCCAAAAGTAGACATGTGGCAGTCCCTGGTCTCCTTTCAGACAGGCCACCACTGCAGAACCCCCACTACTTCAGACCTTGCCATGTAAACACAATACACCTGAACATGTTCCTGTACGTAAACTCTAAGTTCAGTGAAAGGTTCAGAAATTTAAAAGGTGTTGAATCTAACACTAATGTTCAAGTACTGAAAAACAACTGTGTGAAATCACTATGGTTTCATTTCAAATATAGACAAAAGCAGTTTTCAGCACCTTTGTAAGATCCAAAATGGCAACTCAGATGTCAAGTGTCTCAAGTTTTGATGGGAGTGTCAGTCTTTGAATCAACTTCCTTTTGTCATACATGCTCATAAATCTGTTATTTTCTTCATGCTTTGTAGCAGTTGCTTAAGTTTCAGTCTGTGCAATCACTTTGTACTTGAATATTTGTGGAAAGTGAAAAGAATTATGTCTAAGACATTTATGTGGAGAACTGGAGTATTCTGATGAGAAGACTCAGAAAACTACAATTTCTGTCAGAACTCAGCACTGTTATGTCCTGGTGGCTTCCTGCAACCTCATCTGGGAGGCTGATACTGACCTGTGATTTGTGGATTCAGGCCTAAGTATCTGCATTACTTCTGGTCAAAAAAAAAAAAAAATTACTTCTGGTCAAAAACATTTACTTCTGTGCCTCCCACAATCCCTTTTGGATCTCCATGAGGCTGGAGGCCTTGGTAGCCCAAGTTCTTGGACTTCTCATTGCTCTGCTCTTCACTAGAGCTCTGGGGGAGGTCCTTACAGATTGCAAACTTCTGTGGTAACCCCCAGAATGCTTCCACTGACCCATGGACATGTCAAGGTCATTATCAAACATTAGGACAGTATGAAAAGTTCCTGGGAACTGGGTGAGAAAAACAGAAGAAAATGTTTGATCCCATTTCTTCCTAAAACTACCTTTAAAATTTCTTCCGAAAGTAAAAAATATCGGTTGGAAGCAAAGGCCTCTTTTGACAAACTCCTCTTAGATTGTGTCCATTAAGGAGCCCTCTCCCTCAGTGTCTCCCTTATCTTGCCTGTAGCTTCTTATTATTTTGCATGTGTAATTAGTATGTTAATATATCTGTGAGAGAAGACCCTTTTAGAGTATCAGTTTTGCCTGCAGGACAGGAGTAGCGGTATCATTGCAATGCAATGGAGATCACTGCAGTGATCTCTAAGCTCCATCTGGTACATCTACACAGCTCGGTTCTGATCATGCATCTATAAGCCATGACATTTTATTTTTTGGTGCCATGGGTACCTGAGCCAAGTAGACCAAGGTTAGAACTGGCATATTAAATCCCACTGCAATCAGCTCTCCTGATTGGTCTGTGGCTGCAGCCTCAAGTTCTTATGAAAATTATGTGGTAGAACAGGGAAAGCTGGCCTTTCAGATGAGTACATTAAAATAGTCCTGTCCTTCTGACAGATTCATTTAAATACATGAATTATAATAATGGATTTTTTTTTTTTTTTTGTAATTTTCACTCATTGATATGTTTACAATTGCTATGTCTGTGTATTTGCAAGTAATAACCAATGTTCCCAAGATCCTTCAAAATACCAAATCTCCATTGACTTCTGGAGGAATCTGGAATGCAAAAGGAATAAGAGGTCAGACAGTACCATTTCCACAGCTTATTTTCTTACAGCAGTTATATGATTTTCTGCTGCTATTTTTTTTTATGCTGTGTGATTTGAAAGGATTAGTAATTAATTGCATTTTTGATTATAAAGTGTCTCATACCTGAAAAGTGCAATTATGAATGCATTTTCTAAGGTCTCTGATTGATGTTCTTAACACAAAAGGTCAGCATCTGCTGAAGAAAACAAAGTAGTCACGTTTCCACACACAGGAGGGGCAGATCTACCTCAGTAGACCCTAAGGTAATTCTCTACATGAGAAGTCACTGTCTCTGCTGCACTCACCACAATAGAAGCAGCCTCTGTGTACTTGGCTCAGTAATTCTCATTCAGAGTCACTCTTCCTCTTGCAAACTTCCAACACTCGGTGTAACATGAAAGACAGAACCTTTCATTTAGGCATCATTTTAAATTCACTTCATTTACAGGAGTTGAAGCTCTCCCTAATGCAAGAAATCAAGGTGTCCCAGAGTTGAGGAAAAGCCTTATTCGTTCCTGTTTGGAAATACAATTTCTTAGCGACAAATAGTATAAAGAGAAGCAATACTGGCCTCAGCACAGCACTCCATGGGAAAAAATGGGCTTGTTAGAAGGAAGCTGTGCTCTATGCCAGGTAATTTTTATAACCCATTCCCTTTATGTGCTGAGTGCTAGGGAAAAAAGTGCTGAACAGCAAGAAATAAAGTTTGGAATCTACTCACATCCCTCACTATGTGTCACATAGATTGTTTTCTCCTCAAGTCATATTTATAAATTCATAAGCATGTATACTAGAGTTAATTCTTTTTTTTATTTTATTTTATTTTTTAATTTATTTATATATATATTTTTTTTTTCAGAATTGTAAAACTGTAGAATAACTCAGTTTGGAAAAGACCTCCAAGATCATCATATCCAACTGTTAACATAGCACTTCCAAATCCACCACTAAACCATGCTACTAAGTTCTACATCTACATGTTTCCTGAAGATCTCCAGAGACTCAACCACTTCCTTGGGCAGCTTGTTCCAATACTTCACAACCCTTTCAGTGAAGACATTTTCCCTAATATCCAACTGAAACTTCCCCTGGAGCAACTTGAGGCCATTTTCCCTCATCTTATCACTTGGTCCTTGGCAGAAGAGCCTGATCCCCACCTCACTATAGCCTCCTTTAAGGTAGTTGTAGAGAGCAATGATGTCTCCCCTGAGCCTTCTTTTCTCCAAGCTAAACAACCTTCAGCTGCTCCTCATAGGGCATGTTCTCCAGACTCTTCACCAGCTTCGTAGCCCTTTTCTGGACACACTCCAGGGCCTTGATGTCCTTCTTGTAGTGAGGGGCCCAAAACTGAACACAGTATTTGAGGTGCAATCTCACCAGAGCGGGGTACAGAAGGAATTAAACAGCTTGAATTCCTAGTTTTTACTCACTGAGTGACATTGTTCTTGAGGTCAGGCTGAAGTGAGATGTAGTGAAATCACCCTTTAAATGGTTCAATAATACAACCCTGGAAAAGCTTTTCTTTGCCCGAAAAGGAAATGGTGTGTCCTGGCAGGAAGATGCTGGCTGCACCACCTTTGTCATGCTCCACAGGCATCTAACACCTCATGAGACTCTGTCCTCTCTCATGTTGCTCCCAGGACACCTCTCTACTCACACACAGGCTGGGCTATGACCAGGGGGTGCCCCAGGAACCTACTAACACCATCAAATGCTTTTGAGTCATGTAAATTGATTGTGTGCATGTTCAAGCCTAGGACTGAGTATTAAGAGTTTTGATCCAAGCCTTTCATAATGACATGCAAAAAGCTCAACCAGGCAGCACATGACACCTGAGAACTGAACTTCTCTCTTTTATATCCTCATGGTTAACTACTGACAAATCTTTCCTAAGCTCTTTTTACAAGCAGAAGACTTCAAGCATATTTGTACACATGCAAAGCCCTTGGAGGCATGCAGCAAACTCCTTTTGCTTACAAGCTGCTCCATCCCTTTTCTCTGAGACACAGCATGGCTGACCCTGTTCTGGAACCCTTCCACAGTAGAGCAGCACAGCAGGAGATGCTCATGCTCAGGTCCCATCATTTCCCCCTGCATGTCTGTCCCCATACACCCGTGTGCGTTGTGCTACCATGCTGGTGCTTCCCCTGCTGGCTCAGAGCTGCTGGAGGTCAGGCATTGGCACAGGTTTTGACAAAGTTGTGTGTGGGCATAAAAGAGACCAAGGCAGCCCTGGGGCCTGGAAAGCATGCAAAACACAGCAGACTGTGAGGCTGGCACACTGCTTATAAAAAGAAGAAGCTGTTTCTAAGCTTCTCTCTTAGGAGAGAAGAACATAAATCTGTGTCCTGCAGTGATTTAATGGATTAAACACTAACTCCTCTGTCAAAGGAGTATGAGAAGGCTCAGCACAGAAAAAGAGCTTGAGTAGCCACCACTGGGTTCCAGAGTAGAAAGTACATTTCCAAAACCCCAAGGTCCACTTCAGAGAACCGTAGTAAAATGTTGTTGGTATTTGCGTTGATAGGAACCTTGCATCTCTGTGCATTAACAGGTAGGAGAAATAGTTCTTCCAGATAAATAAGCAAGAAAAGCAATGAAAATCTAGTCTCTGCAGAGAAGAGGTGGAAATAATAATGAACAGCTTATTCCTTGCAGTAGTAGGGAATCTCTTTTCCTCCCAGAAGACCAAAAGGATATAAATGAAATTAAAGGTTCATTAACATGACTAATTAATTTTGTCTTTTATTCTTCATTTCGCAATTGTAGCCTACCAACATTCATAATTAGTTTGACGGTACTTCACTTTTTAATGGAATGGAAAAATATGAGGAAGAACTCATTCTGATTAGACATAGCCATTATTTCTAATATGCAATATATCAACTTCTCAGCTAATTATACTATGGGAATTATCATGCTTCTTGCTATTGAATTTAAGAATTCATTTGATAACTCATCTTTTGATAGGTTATTGAGGTTTCAGGACATTTGTTTCTCTTAATGAGGCTATTTAAGTGCCGGATAAGATTTGCTGGCAGAATATGAAAATCCTTTTGGCTCTAAGAGAATTAATTGTACTTTAACTATTATTTTAACTTTTCAACAGTTTTAGGGTCCAAAGACACATATAACAATTATATGCCAATAATTCCCTTCAACTGAGTTGCCTTTAATACTGCCTTAAGGAGGTTTGATTCCTACCATTATCTCTTCTCAAATCCCATTTTAGCAAGGCTGAAGTTCTGCCCTACTTAACAATGGTGTTTAAGTAGATTTTCTTCAATCTATGAACTCCAATGCTGAGATTAGACTTTCCATTTGTAGGTTATTCTGTGAATAAAGCCAAGGGCATGACATCAGAAAGGGACGCTGAGGTCCAAAGAAACCAGTTCTAGCACAAAATGAGCAGAAATTTTAAATCTAAATTATTTTCAGGCAGGGGACTTTTCCATGTGCTGCTGTCTGTTGCTGTCTAGCCACTTTTGACAGTAAGTGAACCAAGAGAGTGCTGGATTGCTGGACTGCTGCATTTTTCATGGCAAGATACATGCTTTTGTTATCAGTAAGGAACAGTCATTGTACATATAAATTGCCAAAGACTTGTGAAAGGGATATAAAATTAATTTGTCTCTTGATGCTCCAGAGGAAAGCTTGCATGGGTAGGGTATAGCTAAATTAGTAAATATTTTTTCAATTAAATCAATACACTGTCTTGCTGTAAGACCTAATGGTTCTCAAAACCTTACTCAAAGTATATGTTGTCATACTGACAATAGTTAAAATTTTGAACGTGAGCATCAATCAAATCCCTGCTTCCAGCTCCAGATCGTATCCAAGATGAGCTCAAAATATGAAGTAAAATACCCATACCTAACATACATGCTGGCCATACTGGAACTCCATATCTATAACTTACTGGTCATCCTATTTGGCAGTGGCCCACCGTTGCCCTTTTCTGTTATTTTCTCAAGATATTTCCGTCTGAGAACTTGAAGGGACCAGGAAATTGAATGTCCTGATTTCCACTTTCATTTATCATCTTATTTATCCAGGATACACGACATTTTCAACAACACCTCAAAGACATCAGTCTCCTTTCCAGGCTTCTTACATGTGAGCCACAATGGTAGAAATATTATCTAATTTTCAGTGGTGAAATCTACATTACTTTTCAAGATTCCACACTTTTTCTCTCATTTTCACTGAAGGACCTCCCTACTTTTCATCTAGTTTCCATACAACTGTCTCCTTTGTTGGTGCTGTATGCTTCTAGGTGGCTTAGTTAATGAAGCTCATTTATGATTTGCCTGTTAAATTCGGTTGCAGGAAAATGTTCCCCTGCATATTATTTTTATTAAGTTAAATAACATATTTAACATTTCTTCCATTGTACATCCAAAGCCAAACCAAAACCATTTTTCTAACTTATTTCAATACTGAATCAACAGTATATAGATTCATTTCTTTGCAGTAGCTGCCATAGGGAAAAAAAAAAAAAAAAAAAAAAAGAAAAGGTAACATCAGTGTATGAGAAAGTGTCTTGTATTAAATGTATTCATGAAAAAATGAATATATTATATGGATGTGAAATATATATATGGATATTACAGCAGTTATTAATAAGGTAACAGAGGAGTTATACCAGTTCCCCTAAAATATTTACAGTTTGAGGAACTTTCCTGACATTTGAGTACTTAATTTAGTCAATTTTAGCACATTTTCCTGTCAGTATTTCCCCAAAGTTCAGCTTGCAGGGCCTTTTTATATGATGCCAGAATTTCAGATTTCTAAGATAAGAAATATTTATTTTTATGACTTATGGAATGAGGGCTTTCACCTCAAATATTTATGACTGGACTTAAATTAGTATTTTATCTAGACTTGCAAGATGGATGTCAGGTGTACTGCAGGGTACAGTGGCTGGTACTGAAGACTGGTCTGGTATTCCTCTGAATCAAAGATTCTCTGAGAAAACTCAAGTTTTGAGTAACCAGAGACTTTAACATAGTGAAGCAAGGCATATCAAATGTTGGTGTGGTCATGAATATGGGCTGGACTATCCATGCAGACAGATATTAAGCGCAAAGTAAACATTGGCTGTGAAAAAATATGACTGGAAATGAGCAGATTTAACCACCAGGAGAATGAGATGCTGGAAAACTCCTGAATGTTAGCAGGAAGTTGCGTGGTTTATACCAGAGGGAGAATTAGTTTTCATCAGTTTAGATGAGGTGTTGCCCAGCGTAGCAGACAAGTAGGCTCTCTGTCCAAGAAGCTCTCTACCAGCTTCAACACCAGTGACTGCAGGTGCCCAATTTCAGACATTTCTACCCTGAATTTCTTACACACTAACAATTCTGTTAAGTAGAAATTAATGAGGTGTAAGGCAATGATGGCTCTGTACCTTAAAAAGATCAGGTAAACTCATCACCTTGGAAACCTTCCCTTTGTTCATCTGCTTTCTAATGACAACAACCACAAGAGAGGCCTTTCATTAATTTTCATTTTCCTCTGAATCTTTCACCATTGATTTGAAAGGTAAGATACAGTGGATACTAATCAGTGTCATCTTACAGTTTTGATTGCAAATATCTCAGAAACTGATACTCTTTAAAATGCCAGAAAGATGCTCACTGAATTATTTCCAGTCTCAGATGTTCTTCAGCAGGACTCTGTGCTCTCTGTCTTAAAAGCCCACAGCTGTAACTTGGTGGGGCTAAGAAAATTGAAGCAGACTTTATAAAATGATTACAATTCCACCACTGTCTCATTTCTTTAAACTGTGCACCTCAGGATGCATTGAAGCAAACTAAATCAGCCACTTCAGTTAAAGAAAAAATCCAAACATGCCATTGTTTTCTTGGTAATGTATATTAGCCTTCACTGATCTCTGTACGACACAGTTAAGCTGCCTCTGCCATTTAAAGTCAGCTTCTGTATTACCAAACAACATTGCAATCTTACTAATCTGACTTATTTTTGCATGTTTTCAGATAGCTCAGGGCATGAATTTTTGAAATTGGAGATAATTGGAGGGGTGAGGTTGCTCTCTAATAGTGAGCACAGCTTGTACTGTGTAATTTGCCCTGTTAAAGAGAAGACTGTGTCCACCAGCAGCGTTGGTGCCTGTGGCAGCTGCACATACACCCTGCTGTGTCAGGTCTGCTGCCACGGGATTAAGCACAACAAAAACTGTTCAGGCTTAGGTACGTCCATGCAGAGGAGCACACCTTCCTCTCCTCCTCACCACTTACCGAGCAGTCTTCATCTGTCTCGTTTCAGTCTCCAGTGTGCCCCTTGGTTGCTTAAAGATGTGTGACACAACTGTAGATAACCAGAGTATTTCTTTTTTTTTTGGTAGACAGAAATCTGTATGCAGTTGATAAAGCCAAAGTATTCTGAAAGCCCTTCCCAACAGTAGCGCAGAAGGGCATGTTGGAATGCTGACTAGAAGAAACGAAGCCGTCTGATAGCTGTCCAAGCTATATCCAAACCTCCCAAGCATACCACAGACCTCTGTAAAAATGAAACTATTCTACATTATTTCAAAGCTTGTACAGTTCAAGAATGGGTTTCCATATCCCGTATGACTGTATCCTGGGGCAACAAGGAACATGGGCCCAATCAGTGGAATAACACCACTGGGAAGCAATTGGATCAGTCTTTCTGTAATAAAGTTGTGAATTTCCGTGGATACTATAAGCCTGACTTCTTGATAATTTTGTGCATCTTATCTGTTAAAATACTTTGAATACCTAGAATGCAATCAAATTTACATTTGCTAGAATATAGTTATAACACTAGAGTTTATGCAGACATGCACGTAAGTCAGAATCTGTGACTCTAAGTCATCTACTTGAGACTTTCAGTTAATTTTACAACAGAGTTTGAAAGCATTCTTCCCACCATGATTCCAGATTAATCTATTGCAAAAGAACTCTATTTTTACTTTCTTATTTCACATTTGGTATGCAGGCTTCTCACTGTGCAATAGAATGTAAAAGACAAAGCTCAGATTCATAGAAAAGACATTTTTGATGAGGTTTTCAGTGCTATATAGCATAAATACGTTTCTAAAGAAACCTATTTCATTTTCAAAGTCATAATTTCACTCAACAACTAAAAAGAAGTAATATGAGCAAAGAGGAAAACATATCTGGCGAGTAAAACTACCTCGCTCCTTTGCTCCACTAAAATATTATGATTAAAATATAAATTTTATCATCTGTGAAAATAACAGGAAGTCTTCATATTGAACTAATCACATAGTCAACATGCATATTTTGCTCTTTTGAGGCAGAAACTCAGCAAGGTAAGTGTAGTTAAATCAGGGCTATATTTAAAGCTTTTAGAAAAGTACAATGCCATGTGCTAGAGGCATTCATGTACCACAAAAGATTTTAACATGCCATAATAAATGTATGTGTTACAAGTATACATGTTCTACGTATAGGTCCCTGCTTATGCCAGTGTGTATTAATATTTCTAAGTTGTTGGTACATTTTTCCTGTAGAGTTTGATTTTCATGTGACAAAAACTGATGTAGTTTCATTGGTTTCAGTGAAGTCAGACCAGCTTGCACCAGATGAGTCAAAATAAGAAGTCCAACCAGATTTACCAAGAAAAATGAATGATCATTTGCCTTCTGCATCGCAAAACTTCCAGTACTTCAGTCAGGATATAAATAGGCAGAAAACCTTTGGCATGCCAAAACCAAAAAAACCACCAGCCTAATTAATTGTAAAAATAATAATAATAATAAAGATAATATGCAAATGAACAAGGTTGAAAGTCAAGAAGAAATCTCCATAAACGCTTCAACACACGTTTGAAGAGTTCAGCCATCACATTTATGTCATATGAGCATAGCATTTTCCAAAATTAAGAGGGAAAAAATTCAAAACAGCCAGCTAAGCCTATACGAAACCACACAATAGTCAAAGAGGATTACGAAGTAGGAAATGTGTTGTGTGGGTGAAAATGCAACAGAGAAATATGTTGTTTTTTCCATTAAACCAGAAAACAATAAAATCACAAAACAAGTTTAAAAGCTATGCTTGTTACAGGCACGCATGTCAGCATTGTTTCTCATTAAACTTAACAAAACCACCTCTTTTCGGTTCCTCATGACACAACAGCAATTCTGTCACAAGCTAAAACTCTACATGCAAGCTCAGTGCCTCAGGCTCACTTTTTCTGAAAACAACAAGAAAACAGTCAAAACAGATCTGCCATGAACAAGAAAGCAAAATGAACATGTATTTTTATGCCCATGTGAAAAACCTGTGGCAACCTTTTCTTTGATGTAGTACAACACTTCAAACGTGTTGGTATAGGAAAAGAGAGAAAGGAGCACATGAAGCACTTTGATGCTCACCAAAAGCAAGAAGGATAGCAGCAATACCAGGCTAGTTGGCCAGGGAACAAAGCCTGGAGAGCAGATCATCCAGGGCTTGGTCAATCTTGTGTTCCCTCAGTGCAGTGTGACATCTCAATGTCCTTTTCTCCCAAGCCCAGAGGGCTTTAAGAGGGACAAATTGTTTTCATGTGGACACACAACATTTGAAAGTAGTCCTTGATGTCTGGGGTGTGACAGACTTCTTCCTCCTCTGATTGCTCCCAGCTGCCTGAGGATGGGGTGTTGATGGTCTTTGGAAACGATGGGAAGAGGGAAAAAAGGACTTAAGAGAAGGCTGTCTGACTTCACACTGAGGAAACAGCCAGGACAGATCCAGGATGAACAAGGGAAGGGACACGTGCTTGGGTGCAGAGAAGAGAGAGCAATATGAGGAAATACTAAAAAAATTATTTCCTTCCTTTCTCACATTTCTCTGGGATAATCTATGGCCAACGGCAAGATCTTATTTTATTTATTTGTGGTCTTTTGTCCTCTTTCACCTCCTTTTTAAAGCTAGTGTAGCCTTTCTTCAGTATATATTAACATTATACATTAAGAAAAAATAATGAAAAAAAAAAATATATGTATATGTGATTTTGACTGTTCAGAGCTGCACCTCGTACGTCTCTGTAAGCAGGTGCTGATCACCAAGACCTCAAAATCCTCAGGCATTAAATCTGAGAGTGCTGGTAGCCTGAGGTGAAACCTGAGGAGATTTTAGGGAGCAAATATTATTATTTAAAACATTTTTTTTTTCACCTTCATTTTTTTATGCATCCTGTGTTGGCTTGCACCTGAAGTCAGCCCAAAGTAATCTCACATGCTACACATTACAGGAACAGCACAGCGCGCTCTTTTTTTACGGCCCCATCGTGCTGTTCCTGTATCACCTGCAGTCTCCAATAAGTGCAGGAGCAGCACCCCACGTTGCTGCTGAGCATTCCAGTGGCACCACAGCCCAGGTGTACCAGCAGATAGCCCACTTCTCTGTTCCCCTGCAGCCATTCCTTGAGAAGTGCTATCGACCGTGACAAAACCCTTCCCACGGGATGCGCTAGTCCTATTCTAGACTAACAAGTGGAAATCTTTCACTTGCTACATTCAAGGGAAACTGAGCCACCTTACTGCTACCCTAAATTATTCACGAGGAGATGAGGTTGTGTGTCCATATATATATATATATATATATGTATATATATATTGTCTCTTTTTATCGATGAGTGTAATAATTAGCTTTGCCCACCAAACTCGATTCTGTTCATCATCCTAAATGGTAGTCAGCAGCCAAAAGAGATGGGGAAAAAAAATAAAAAATAATAATAAAAATAAAATAAAAGGAGAAGGAAAAGGAAAAGGAAAAGGAGAAGGAAAAGGAAAAGGAGAAGGAGAAGGAAAAGGAAAAGGAAAAGGAAAAGGAAAAGGAAAAAAAGGAAAAGGAAAAGGAAAAAAAGGAAAAGGAAAAGGAAAAGGAAAAGGAAAAGGAAAAGGAAAAGGAAAAGGAAAAGGAAAAGGAAAAGGAAAAGGAAAAAAAGGAAAAGGAAAGACAAAGAAAAGAAAAAGAAAAAGAAAAAGAAAAGAAAAAGAAAAAGAAAAAGAAAAGAAAAAGAAAAAGAAAAAGAAAAAGAAAAAGAAAAAGAAAAAGAAAAAGAAAAAGAAAAAAAAGAGAAAGAAAAAGGAAAAGAAAAAGGAGGAAACCAAACCCAAACTGTTTGTTTGGCCGAGCCAAACAAAGAAACGCCACCTCGGCGCGGGGATGCCTTATCGTGCAGTGCCGCCCTGTGGCGCGGCCGCAGGCGCTGCTGCGGGCTGGGATGGAGACGTCCTGCAATTCCCCGGGTCCCGAGCAATTGGAAACGGCTCCTGGGGGTTTTCCTGGGAACAGTGTTATGGCTTGGTGCCAGGCTGCGACTATTAAAACCTTCACGAGGTACTGGACAGTTAAGGGGAATAAATCAACGTCAGCATGTGTGGAAACACAGACAGGCTTGTATTATCTAATTGCAATTAACTATTGCTGTACAGACCACAGCTAAGCCTAAACATATATACAAGATTGCTGTGCTTCTTTGTATGCATTAATATATGGTGTCAAATGTTCTATTATAAGAAAATGGCATCAGTTTTACCGTGACAGATCACAGTTTTGTCCTGTTCGGTATCAGCAATAAATGCCTCAGCGTGCTCTGATGTGCACTGTTCTATAATATATTCCCCCAGCAGTTTGCAGCTCATGAACATCCCAAGCCTTTGTTCACTGGAGCTATAAGAAATTTCTGCTCTGAACTTTTCCAGTCGTTTTTTGATCCAAAGCACAATTTTAACATCCATAGCATAATTGCAACAAGGAGTTTCACCATTCAAGTTCACTGTACAAAGGAACATCTCCTTCCTCTCTTTTTCTCTCTCTCCACACATGCAAATGTATACTTTCTATATATGCTTGTATAAGAAAATTACCAACTTAGGCTTGTCTGCTCTCTCCGTTACCATTTTGGAACTTGCCACCTTCCTTGGTACCTTAGTTTTTATGAGAAATGAGAAACAATGGCTGTCAGTCTGCCTTCCCTCTGTAACTCACAGCATTATAGGTTTCCCTCCCTCCTTTTGTGTCCTGTCATTTCTTTTCCAGACTGCAAAGTCTGGCTTTAAACAGTTCTTGATACAGCAGCTATTCCTCAATTTTCTTCAGGAGCACCCTGTTGCCTTTTACTGTGTGTCTTTACTTCTATTGCATCATTTAAAACAAAATAAGAGTTGCATATTGCAGCTTTTAAATGTAGATGTTTCCTTCCCTTATGACTCTGCTTTCTTTAATGATTTTTAAGTCTCTTTGTAAAAGTCAGACAAGTGAAGGTTTATCTATTTACTTTTACATGTAATTTACAGGCCTAGTTGCTTTTTAAGACAAGCAATTCCTTCAGATTTTTCTCTGGCAGGAAAATTACTTCTGTCTCATCTTGTTCAGATCCTAGGTAATATTCCTACAGTACACATAATTTCTTTCCAGCCTTTTGTCTGCTCTGTGGCTGCACTTTCAAGTTACCTGCAGCAAAGAATTCTTGATTTAACCTTATGAGCACATCTGAGTGTCAAAAATGTTATGATCTGAATCTGGAATTAAATACGAATGTCACGAAGCATGAAACTGTACCGTCATAGTCAAGGGAATATTGTAACCAATAAGTACTTAAAAAAAAAAAATAATAAATGAGGCTGAAACCTAAGTAGTAAATGGAAAGTTACAAGCAAAATATCAATATTTGTTCAATATTTAGCATATTAGCTCTTAATTAAAGTCAAGGATTTGCTCTGAGATATACAAATTAAATACTACATACAATATGCAATAAAAGGCTTTATCTTCCAAATTCCCTTGTTCATAATATTTTTAAGAGCAGATTTTTCACCCATGGTCTTCGTTTCCTGTAAATTCAGATGCTCTTTGAAAACAGATCAGAATGTCAGGTATAAACTCTTGAGGTCAATGTGACTTACACTTTTTTTTTTTAATATATATATATGTCCCAAAAAATAAACTATTGATTATTTTCTTTAGTAAAAAGCTGATTCTTCTCTTGGGCAGAAATCACCTTTTTAAGTGACCTTTCCTGTGATAGCCTTGGTGAAAGAGTTACAAACACAATTGGATTATTTTTTCATGTCTACCTTCAGACCTTTTGTGACACTAGAAAGCAATTTCTACCAGAAGGCTCATCTTAAGGAAAGATTATGGTTCATAAAGATCTGGGGCCCAGACAGTCAGCAGTAGGTTGTTTTTGAAATGCAAACTTCTTGAAAATGAAAGGAAAAACAGGGATCTTCTGTCCTCCAGATGAAGTGATGACAGACCACCAGGCCATCTTCCTTTTGCTTGATAATATGAAAAAGATCATGAGATGGGTACAAAGGAAGTGGTGTGTGAAGTGGGGGTGTTAGCAACATTTGCTTCCAGATTCATTTCCAGAGAAACAGATTTTTTTCTGATCCATATCTAACCCTCTTAACATCAAGCCTGTGTTTTCCTGGGTCTGTGTATGACAAGGGGGTGATCTGAAGGAAAAGAGAGATTACAGCAATACATGTTGGCCCCTTTCCCTGTGGAATTCTGTTTTCTGCAGATGCCCCTGTCTGGTTGCAGAATGCACCCTGTGCACATGATTTTGTACCCATACCCAAAGCAAATTTGTCAGAGCAACATCAGTGGAACTAAGGAAATGCCTTCACCTATCTCCATGTCAAATGCATTTTATTATAAAATACTCTCAGGCTGATATTTTTTTTATATATATATATATATTTTCACTTCAGTTTTTATCTACCAAATAGCTACACTTTTGAGGAATTTGACTAGTATGCAAAATAATCTGGGCAAAATATAAAACGCCTTAGGGTATAAGCAATCACAACTCTTGAGAGAAAATTGTGATGTAGAAAATATAGAAGATCTCATGCAAAAGAATGGCTGGCAAATGTTTGGACATCTCTGAAGTGTGAAAACATTTTTAAAGTGAGTTGCTGAAAACATCACAGAAGATGAACTGAGAAAACATCCAGTTTTCTTTTCATATATTTTCAAGTACTTATATATATTCTCTACTTCTTTTGTATTATTATTCAAAGTCAATATATTATGTTGCCTTGTCTCTGCTATATTCAAGTAGAATAGACTTGGAGAATATATACATTTATGAGTCTTGGGTCAAATGTGTGAACTCTTTTTCCTTCTGCTTATGCATGTAAATATGTGTGTGTGTGTGTGTATAATGAAGTTACCAACTGTGTGTTGAACAAATCTTTTCTGCTTTCTCTATTATTTTCTTACACTGCTTTGGACATGAATACATGCCATGGTCATGGCACAAGCTATATTCTGGAATCTTCTGCTGAAGTGACACTTGATTTTACATGCTACAGATAAAAAAATTGGTTGATAGAAGAAGCACTGTGAGGACATGAGCTGATAACTCCAGAGGGGGAGGTCATCCATGAGTTACCCAGCTATGCAATCTAAGCATTTTAATAGAAAAATTTCTCAGGACATTTCTTTTTTTTTTTTTTTTTTTTTTTTTTTTCCTTGTGTTTAGAAATGAAAGAACTACACACACTGTCTGGAGGAAGGAAAAGAGAACAAAGA